TGGCATTGTAATCGAAAGGTCTGAGAATGGTTATAATAAAAGCAAGCATTTGTAACCATGAGATACGAGAGAAGTGACAAGTACATTCCACCGATTAGGGAGTTGAAACGTGATGACACCGTATTGAGAAAATATGAGTGCTCGTTTAAATTGCGTGAATACTGTAAGGTGGATGATACATGAACATTTAATGTGATTTCTGGTTTATATAATCATGCCTTGTAAACCGAGCTAGTCGATTATCTCATCGTATGTTGCCTTAAACCAAAAGAGAAGGTAATTGTTTCAGACATGTCTTTAACCAGTGTGCCGCCTAAAAACATACTTACATATTTGAAACAGAAAAGATCTGAAAGTGTTTCAAATATCAAATAAGTGTACAATGCACATTATCGAAACAACATGGCGTTAAGAGGTCCAAGATCCAAAATGTAACAACTTTTGAAGCTTTTGGATGGCAATCATTATTTTTCTAGGTACAGAGTTTGTGAGGATATAGTCACAGTTCGTGACATATTTTAGACTCATCCCGAAAGTATCAAGTTGTTCAACATATTTCTCACTGTCCTCATAATTGATTCAACGTATAAGACCAACAAGTGTAGACTTCGCTTCTGGGAATTATTGGTGTTACTTCTAAGGAGAAAACTTTGAACGAAGTGGTCTCCTTCATACGTTGAACATGTTGATTTACATTTCCCGAATTCACCAACTCCAAAATCTCAAAAGTGTGTTTACAAGGGTGCTCACATTAGCAAACCACCTCCTTCATCGCCGATGCCGAAAATAATCTTCATTGAAGAAATGTTGTTTTTTATGCACAAACGCATTAATCAAATTGTAAATGTAAAGAAGGATGGTGATTACAATTTTTGGGTCGTATTTGGATTGCACGGTAAAGGAGAAGAGAAACACTTTCTTGTTCGCCAACAACTTTTAAAAGAGTTGATGGTGCACCGGGAATCTACACAATGTTATACGGGAAAAAAGAACATTTTGATGCAATTCAATATACTCTTACTCCTTGTGTTAGCGATCCCACACCGTTTTCAAAATGGAAGGGCTTCCCTGAAATGGATCATCTTATAACAAGTGCATATGACAAGGTGTGTATCGATCTGACAAGATAAAGTTTTTCGAAGACATTTTTTCCACTTTGGAGTGGCCCACCTAAAGATCCTTCCGAATGCATCATGTGTATATGGTGGCTTTCAAAATCGTTATATTTTGTTGAGGTTTATTTGAAACTGGAGTGTCCTATACCAAGTACATCATTGGAGTGGACGACACATTAAATAAAAAGAGGCAGAAACTTGACCGTATCAATTTTTGGAAAGGATGGAACAGTTCACCAAATTGAGTGAACATGAAAGAGAATCAAATATGGAAAAGTCAATTGAGGAACTGGTCGTAGATTTATGCAGTGATGCATATTTTGATTCATTTTAGATTGTAATCGATACACTTTTTTTAATGTATTATCGTCAATGATCTAATCTTGATACAATTTAATACATGAGTAATATATATTCAGGAACTATGGCGTAAATGTCAATTGTTTCTGTTTACACATTTTATGGTTTACAACTTATGTTTATATTTTTTAAGATTCTGGTCTGGTTTAGGTTCAAGGTTGATTCCATATATGCATATCCGGATAAACCCATTCTAATTTTAAAAAAAGGGAACATTTTGGATGTGCATATCCGAATAAGCTCTTTTCGTAAAATAAAAGGGTTTATCCAAATATGCATCTCTGAAAAGTGCTCTGATGACATTATAAGGTTTCTAAGGTCCAATGTGATTCAAGCGTTGTATAAATAGGGTGTCTCTCATCCCATTTTTTCTACAAAACACCCAATATCAGAAAATGAATACATATCCCCACCTTGCATTTGTGTATATCAATGCTGAGAAGTCGTCACTTCAGCTCAAGGTATACGCGAACATAACTCTCACCGACCTAATATCCAAACTGAATACTCTCATGCAATATCCAGGAGATTGACGAGTTGTCAAGCTCGAGTATCATTCACCCTCATTTAACAGCAACGAAAAGATACAATTCACCAACTTAAAACTGAAGACAGATGCAAATTTAGAGGTTATATGGAGTATTTTTTGCTGATATGCAACAAAGAGTCTGATTGAAGTGGATGCGAAGATTGTAAGATCCGTCGAAGATATTATCATGTTGTAACGTCATGAACTACCCGTTTACAATGATATGTAATGTTAAGTTTCTGATTATCAATTATCTATGTAATGTTTAGTGTTTTAATTTAATATCAAGTTGTTACGGTTTGTAGAGCTTGCTCATACTCATATTGTCTATGTTTTTTGTTCTTCATTTAAAGTATCAGAGCTATTTTTGGATATACATCTTTGAAGCATATCAAATATATTTTCGGAGATACATATCCGAACTAAAATTAAGTATAATGAGAAGTGAGTGCGTCCGAAGATACATCTTCAAACTCTAGAGATATTTTTGGATTTTCACTAAGGATTTGCGAGAAAGCATAAGGATGGGAAAATAAATCATCTTTTACAAATCTAGTTTGATTTCAATAGGACTAGTTGAAAATATGCATGATTTAGATACCACATTACATAAATTTTTCATTTAAGATAAATAGTATTCGAATGTGTGCCTAAAAAACCGTGATATAATTATTAAGAAATATTTTCCAAGTGAAATATTATTTAAAATATTTTATTTTTAAATATTATTAAAGTATTATATTTGAATATTTTTTATATTAGAATAATTATATTAACTATTTATCAAATTAAAAGATTTAATCGATTAACTGATCAAATAAAATCAAAAATTAATTAATTATTTATATAAAAATTAATTAATTAATTTATCATATGAATTCAGATACAAATAAATATAAAAATAATCTATTTTAAAATAATAAAATTTTAACGGATCATCTTATATGTAGACTATGATCCTCAATATACCATAAACAAATATATTATTATTTTTTTCTATCGAAATCATAATGATCAAGTTATTAAAAGTGTCACTTAAGACATATCTACAAGTCAATAATTGTGGACAATTTATTTCCATATTTTTGCATTTTAAATTACTAAAGAAAAACTTATCATTTTAGATATAAGTATTTATGCAATCCAATCTGACATAAACAAATATGTTGTATATCATGTAATAATTATACGGCATGCTCATTTGTTTATTCTATTTTGCACCAAAAATATGACTGATATCATGTTTAAAGCATGATATCATTGCTCATCATGTAACTCAAAATAACCATTATCTATTGAAGCCGTCAAATTTGCATTTTGGAGTTTCCAAAACATTTTGCAGTTTTTTCTCTCCTATCTAACTAGTCAACTATGTACACTTTAGTCTTTCATTAAATTTTATTCATTTTTAGTCTTTTGTTTTTATTTAGAAACTATTTTTGAAGGATAAAAAATGTATAGAACATTTTTTAAGATAAGGACAACTATGTATAAATTAAAATTTAAAGTTTATGTTTTCTTTCTCTTTCAGCATTAAAAAATAAAATCACATTTTTTAATTTTAAAATATTTATTACTAAATTCATTGAATATATAATTAACTGTCATTTTAATTGAAGGAATATATAATAAAATGATTTATTTGAATTTATTAATTTTAGATTATTTTATTAAAATTATAATTTTTTATAATATTGTGTATAATTTATTTTCATAAATTACTTAAAATAATTTATAAAATAACTTGCTCCATTTAATTTTTTTATTTTATTTTTACATAATAAACTATTAAAATAAACTGTTTATTCAAATATAACTTAATTATTATAGTGATATTTTATTTATATGTTTTAAATTTCATATATTATTTTCCTCAATAAAATAATTAAAATCTTAAATCTGTAATTATAAATTTTTATCAGTTAATCAAAATTAAGTAATTTTAATCCGTTTCTAATCATTGAGATCAACCTATAATTCTTCTTACTAAATCTAATCTTAATCATTGATTAAATTCATAATTTAATAACATTACAAACATATTACTATTTTCTTTTTATTGCTAAATTCAATTTTCTGTTTGCATTTAATAAAAAAATGAAGTATAAGTAATAATTCTGAAAATAAAATGAGAGACGTTAGGTTTTTATTAATATAAATAATTTAATGGTAGGATAACTCATGTGATATTAAAGAATTCCCTTTATTTAAGATAAGACAAAGTCTCATAAAATTATCAAAATCAAAACTTTGAAAACTTTATAAAGTCTTTATACAAAGAGACAACAAGAATTAAATTGCTCCCTTTGAGACACGTAACCGAACCACTTCTCGCGCCACCGCCGGAATATTTCTCCGCCGTCTACCACCGTCAGGTTCCGTAACTATCTCTCTCATCATCACGTTTTGGTTCATTTTTTTGCTTGAATAAATCTCGTTGATTTTGATCATAGAAATTTAAGATTCTTAGTATTTGATTGATTCGCTTTGATTAAATTCAAAGACCTTGCAAGAAATAGTTTAGATCTTCCAAGGAAAAATAATCGGTAACGTTTCTTTTTGCTTTTGCTTTGACTACTACAATTAATGAAATCGCCTTGAGGTTTTTCCTCGTGGAAATCCTCAATCAAATTTAGAGCAAGTTATTATATTCAATAGGGCCTGGAAATGGGGCTTAGATTTGATTGCCTTATGTGGAATCTTAGAGGAGGTTTGGGTTTCTCTTTTCGAGCCCTGAAGCGACAAGATATGTTAAGGGTTCATTTGCTTCTTTGCTTCTTGCTACTTACATTTTTTTTATTACAATCTAAAGTTAGAAGCCACCATTTTATGGATAGCCTAGTAAATTTAACTCCCGACAAGTCAGTAACTGACATTGATTACCTTTTTAATTTTACATTCCTATATAACATCCTTTATACCTTCCTTTTAGACATTGATTTGACAAGAGTATTCTTTTTTTTTCTTTTTTTGTGGTTTCAGTTTATTTAAATTCAATGGATACTAATAATTGGAGACCTAATCAAGGGGCTGAACCCAACATGGATAATAGTGATTGGAGAGGTCAATTGCAGCAAGAATCACGCCAAAGAATTGTTAACAAAATGTAAGTTTTAGTTTTACTACCGAGTCGCTGATTTGATATGAGTTTTTGACTGTTGATGCATAGCAAAAGAGCAATTAAATATAAATTGTTGATTGATATGTTATCTTTGTAAGCATGTGCTGTGTTTGGGTGGAGAGTGTTGCCATTAGTTTTCTGCATTCTGTTTCGCGGGTTTTCTAGAAAATGAATTCTTAGTGGAAAACTACGGTAATGTTAATAGCATTCAGTTTTGCTCATGTTACAAAGAAAATTTTCTTAAGGAGGAGATTATCTAAGATGTTACCAAGAACATTTCTAGTTCCTCTGATCCTTATTTGCCATCTTAAGGAGTATCTTTTTTATGAGAATATGTCCAGACGATTTCAATGAGGTTTTCTTACTTGTCAGTCACACTCCATCGTTTGAGATCTGTCTAATGACAATAACATATTAATAACTCATAAAGTTGATGTATTTGGTACAAATTTTTGATCAAATACATCATCTTTGTTGGGCCAAAATTTTCTTATAATTAAGAACGGTGGGTGTATTATTTAACAGTTAAACCATTGTTTTTCATTTTTGTAGAATGGACACGTTAAAAAGGCATCTTCCTGTTTCTGGTCAAGAGGGATTGCATGAACTTCGGAAGATTGCCCAAAGGTTTGAAGAGAAGATTTTTACGGCTGCAACAAGCCAGGTATATCTCTAATTAGAAGCCACATGATTATCAAATTATAATTACTAGTACAATGGAAGATTGACAATTTATCGTGACATTCTCTAATTTCAGTCTGATTATCTAAGGAAAATATCTTTGAAGATGCTTACAATGGAGACTAAATCCCAGGGCACTTTGGCCAACAATATAACATCGAATCTAGTTGGCCCTAGCAATAAACCTCCTGATCCAGGTTAGCATTTAAAAGCCATGCCACAGTGATCTTATTCTGAGAGTATCAAACGCTGAATTGTTTCATGTCTTTTAACATTAGCTATCGGGACTATACTTTGACCTATTGCTTTCGATATCATTAACACTTAAAGTTTTGCTGGTCCTACATGATCTTTGTCCTTGTCATCTATCTTCAATCTTTATTTCTTTTAACTATTTCTTAGTAAAATTATTCTTGTGTTATTAATGAGTCATGAATCTTTTGGATTCTGACATTACATCATTATTATTATTTTTTGTATCCCTGACTTAGCCAATTATTACTTCTTTAATAGGACTTGGTATGCAGTCTCAAGTTCACAATCAAGGGCAGCAACATCCTATTCCTTTGTCCAATCAGCCCCAGTCACGCCAACAGCTTCTATCTCAAAACATTCAAAATAATATTGCATCTCAGCCCAACCTTCCACCTGTATCTGGTCTAGCCCAGGCTTCCATCCCGAATGTTGGCCAGAATTCCAACATTCAAAATATGTTTAATGCTTCCCAGAGACAAATGCAAGGGAGGCAGCAAGTTCTTCCTCAACAACAGCAGCAGCAGTCACAGAATCCACAACAGTATCTGTACAACCAACAGCTTTTGAGGCATAAGCTTCAGATGCAATCTCAACAGCAACAGCAGCAACAGCAGCAGCAGCAGCAGCAACAGCAACAGCAGCAGCAGCAGCAGCAGCAGCAGCAGCAGAACCTTCTACAATCAAATCAGTTACAATCTTCCCAGCAATCTGGCATGCAGCAGCCTTCCATGATCCAAACATCTTCTCTATCTGGCATTCAGCACAATCAGCAGTCTAATAATGGTCAACAGTCAACACAGTCCATGCTTCAGCAACACCCTCAAGTTATCAGGCAGCAGCAACAACAGACTTCTATTATTCATCAGCAACAAACACCAATGACTCAACAGTCAATATTACCTCCACAACAGCAGCCACAGCAACAGCTTATGGGAAAACAGGCAAATGCAACCAACATGCAACACTCCCAGATGCTTGGGCAACAGAATAATGTTGGTGATTTGCAGCAATCACAGAGGTTACTTGCACAGCAGAATAATCTTTCAAACTTGCAACAGCAGCAACTAGTAAATCAGCAAAACAACTTATCAAATATACATCAGCAATTGGGAAACAATGTCCCTGGGTTACAGCCGCAGCAAGTCCTTGGACCTCAATCTGCCAATTCAGGCATGCAGACAAGCCAGCACTCTGCTCACGTGCTACAGCAATCGAAGGTTCCAATTCAGCAGCAATCACAACAAGGTGCATCAAATTTGTTACCATCTCAAGCACAGCAGTCACAACAACAAGTGCCACAGCAGCAATTGATGCCACAGATTCAATCTCAGCCTGCACAATTGCAACAGCAAATGAGTTTGCAGCAGCAACCAAATCATTTGCAACGAGATATGCAGCAAAGGCTTCAGACACCGGGTTCCATACTTCAACAAACGGGTGTTCTTGATCAACAAAAGCAGTTATATCAATCACAAAGACCCCTTCCGGAAACTTCGTCAAGTACGTAAAGCTGGAACTACACCATTTTGTCCTTTTATCTTTTATCAATTGAAATTGTGGCTGAAGAGGTAGTCAAATTTGTAGGGTCCTATCTACTACATAGGATCAATTAGGGTTAGATGCGTAGATTGTGAAATCGTAAAGTCTTTAAGGTCTATGTCTTGCCTGTCCCAGGAAAAAAGGAAACAAGGAAAACCTAATAAAACTAAGGTCAAAAGTTGATGTTACAAATCAGAATCTTAGAACACCAAAAGATTGACATCTATTTACACTTCATTAAATCAGAGTCGCACATCTTTGCGCTGCCACTTCACACTTTCTTTGGCAATGTATAACTGTACCTAACACCTTCCAGGGCTATACGGTTCACATACCACATTTCCCGATACTAGAAAGTGATTTGTATAGACGAACATCATTATATTTGATGGGTAAATCAATTGTTTAGTGGCAATTCCATGGGGATAAAATAGTGGTTGTTTTGTTTACACCGAATTATAAGTTATGGGTTTAGTCACATCAGGCTAGTTTAGATAGAATCTCTAACATGCTTATTACTGTCTACAATGCATCTACTTACATCAGTTCTTTTGGTGGGAATGACTGAAATAATAGGCAGTACTGCAGTGGTAACATGATAAAAGGGTATTTGAAAGCCTTCACACATCTTTGTACTGTTTAAAACATATGCAAAATTATTGCATCACCATTTGTTACCTAATTTGTTCAAATCAGCATTTCTCTTTACATCTTTTACCGTACTTTTACTAATTTTAAATATGCATATGCGATTATAAGGCACCTATCAGATTTAGTTATCAAAAACTAATTACCATACTTGCTGGGTTGAGAATTTAAGGACAAAAATCAAGTGCATTGAATTTGTAAGTCATTGATCAATTGGTTATTTATGCTTCATTTGGCTTGGCAACAATATAAAAAGACCTATGAACTTATTCTCAATTATCGACTTTGTAGAGCATCATTTAGCCACCATGGTCACCTTCTTTATATATAAATGTAACTCATCTTTCCCATTACAAAAATGACTTTTTACCCTTTTTAGTAGTTGGTAGACTAAAGAAAGTCTACAGTTTGATTATTTTAAAATTTCTTATGATACTAAGTAATAAATTTTAGCATTATGAATTGAAGTAGGGTTGTCAATATGTTGCTCATGAGTATGCGCGAGATGGAGTTGATGACATATTCTTTGTGTTCATATCTGTTTTGATCAAGTCAAGCCACCTTGAAAGAAGATATTCCAAAATTGTGAATATAGCTTTTGAATAATGTATTCCTTTTGATCGATTTAATAGGTTTTCTATGTTTAAAGAAATAAGTATTATCCTATATTATCAAAAACATGACCGCCTCTTTTTTCATTTGAGGCCCTTTTCACCTATGATTTCTTACTTTTGGTTCCTCGCTTCTTTAAAATAACATTATCGTCTGAATTTTTTCACTTCTTCCAAATCTTATAAAATACAGGTAAAAAACTTATACCCTCGCAATGCGCGGGTCATAACCTAGTTTTAGTTAATTACAAGGGCTGGGAAGCAAATGTAATATACCAAAATAGATCTAGGGTTGGACAGCAATATATAATTAGAGCAAATCCAGCCGTGGACCATTATCCCAAATTTCCAAGGTAGAACGGCGCCCCTGTCAAACCTGGATCTGTGGCTGGCAGGTCAAAATAGAGGCATAGATAAAGCAGAAACCCAGAACCACACCCAATCTCAAGCTTCAGATCAATCAGGATAGTGTTCTAGCATACAGTAGAGTTTTGCTAGATGTCATCAGGTTAGTTGCAATCAGGCTCTGGGTTTTGACAATTTTTTTTTTTGGAATATTCGATGCCAAATCCAAGATATTGGAATTGGTTCGATTGCACAATCCCAGTGATTCTATGTGCTGGGTTGCAAAGTGTTATCAAATATTCACCATGGTGACGCTATGGCGGATATACATGGCGGTTTTTGGGCTCGCTGCAATGGTAAATATTGGTTGATATTGCGGGTTTTTCTGCCATAATCCGCTATAACGGCGTCGCAAAACGGATGGTATGGCGGGATTTTGGCTCTCCGACATGGACCACCATCGATGTAGTCCATGCATAATCTCAGCAGAACGAGTTTTCTTCTGGTTTCGGGATGCCTCCTGCCTTCTTATATGTAGAATTATAAGGTTCTACATGTAGGATTTTGTTTTTGATAGTATTGGATGACACTCTTATGCTTTCAACAGTTCTTCACAAACACTTGCAAAAAAAAGGAAAACTGTAAAACACAAAACTAAACATGAATTCAACATGCCATGCTTTTTTAGTTGTTGTTGGATTTAGAACCTCGATCTTTGCGCTTTTTCCGTTTCTGTAAATCCTGATAACCCTCTTATTACATTTAAAGAAAAACTGTGGTCTTCATCTTTCCATTTCTCGAATGTTCATCATCCAATATTTTTGCCCCCCCTGTCTATAAATCAGTGGTCTGTAGGATTACTCCCAACTCCCGGACAGTATCTTTGATAAAACATAGCAAACTTCAATTTTTAATGAATGCATTTTTTCTAATTCGTTTAATAAAGTCTTGTAAGTTATTTTGTGATTCCCCATCTGTTCTATATCTCACAAAGTAAAGTGGAAAAGATGCGAATTTCCACATTTTTTGTCTCTTAAGTTGTGATATTTTTCATGTATGCTTATGTTTGTATTATATATATCTCTCTTGTAGATTCTCTGGATTCAACAGCACAGACTGGACAACCAAGTGGGGCTGAATGGCAAGAAGAGTTGTATCAAAAGGTAATATGCTACTTTCTCATCTTTATTTTTTGGGCAAATTGAGTTGAAAAACAGAAAATTGTCAAACAAATGGCTTTTGTGCCAAAAAATGTGTTAATAGTAGGAACATGGGATTCTCACTATTAAGAAAAAAATGGAGATGAGTCCTTACTTTTTGGTTTTTATTTGGATGATTCTTATCCTTCACGTAATATTTGAAAATATGGGGTGCAATAGTGGAAACTATAGGTGTTCTACCTTAAAAAGAATTTTGATATTTTGGTTTTCCGTAGTGAAAAACATGTAATTGTTAAATTGATTCTTTGTTATATAGTAATATTTTGGCATCATGAAAAACTTATTGTAATTATTAAATTGATTCTTTGCTTTGATGAGTTGTAAAGTTTTCAAATCAATATTCAAAGTCATGGTCTCTTGGGTAGCCAAATGCATTGTTGCATCTTCCCAATTTCAGCATGAAAACAAAACTTGCAATTTATGATGCTTTACAAATGGAAAAAATTATTTTACTTATTGCACCAATTAATACTACAGTAATACAAATATTTTGTATTAGAGATTTCATGGTTTCTCACGCATTCATTATTTGATTATGATTTTAACAATAGATCCAAGTTATGAAAGAGAGCTACTTGCCAGAGCTAAGTGAAATGTATCAGAAAATCGCAACGAAACTTCAACAGGTACATTTTATTATGCAACTTTTTAATAGCTTCTATGGATAGAAAAGCCTTTTATGTTATAGTTATCCTGGAAAACTCTGAAGGTTGCAGTGTGGGCTAAACACTATCAAGCCATCACCCTTCTTTAAAGGAAGCCCTCAATTCAGTCAATTGTTTTTGTGTTTGCTTTTAACTTATATTTTGTGTTTAACATTACGTTTTCTGTTTTTTATCAGCATGATTCTCTTCCCCAGCAGCCAAAGTCAGATCAGCTTGAAAAGCTTAAGGTATTTAAAATGATGTTGGAGCGTCTTATAACAGTCCTCCAGGTTTCCAAGAGCAACATCACGGTTGGTTTAAAGGAGAAACTGGGTTCATATGAGAAGCAGATTATAAATTTCATAACTACAAATAGACCTAGGAAAATATCTTCACTGCAGCCGGGGCAGCTTCCCCCACCTCACATGCACTCCATGTCACAGACTCAGTCCCAGGTTACTCAAGTGCAATCTCATGAAAATCAAATGAACTCTCAGTTACAAGCAACAAATATGCAAGGCTCTGTAGCAACAATGCAGCAGAATAATATGACGAGCATGCAACATAGCTCTCTGTCTGGTGTATCTACAGCACAACAGAATATAATAAATACAATGCAGCCAAGTGCCAGTTTGGATTCAGGACAAGGAAATATGAACTCCCTTCAACAAAACCCTGTTACTGCTTCTCAACAAACTAATGTTAGCTCCTTATCTTCACTAGCTGGGGTAAATGTGATCCAACAAAATCATAATTCCCTCCAGCCAGGTTCTGGTATGCTTCAACACCAGCAACTAAAACAACAGGAACAACAAATGATGCAGAATCAACAATACAATAATCAGTACCAGCGGCAACTGATGCAGAGGCAGCAGATGCTACACCAGCAACATCAACAACAGTTGCACCAGCCAGCAAAACAACAGCTGCCTGCGCAGTTGCAAACACATCAAATGCAACAACTTCAGCAAATGAATGATGTAAATGACATGAAGCTGAGACAAGGAATTGGTGTTAAGCAAGGAGTTTTTCAGCAACACCTTGCTTCAAGTCAGCGTTCTGCTTATCCCCATCAACCGTTGAAGCAAGGTCCGTTTCCCGCTTCACCCCAACTACTACAGGCTACATCTCCACAGATTCCCCAACATTCATCTCCCCAGATTGACCAACAAAACCACCTCCAATCTCTGACAAAAGTTGGTACCCCTTTGCAATCTGCTAACTCACCTTTTGTAATCCCCACTCCTTCACCTCCCTTAGCTCCATCTCCTATGCCAGGAGATTTTGAAAAGCCCATTTCTGGTATTTCATCAATTTCAAATGTTGGACACCAACAAATTGGGGGTGGGGGTGCAGCAGCACCTGCTCAGTCACTTGCCATCGGAACTCCTGGAATATCAGCCTCTCCATTACTGGCAGAGTTCACCAGTCCAGATGGTGCTCATGGTAATGCATTAGCGCCCCCTTCAGGAAAATCAACTGCTACTGAGCAGCCTTTCGACCGCCTAATTAAAGCGGTTAGTCTAGTTTATCTAAAGCTTGTCCGATCAGTGTTTGTGACCTATAGTTCGTACAAATATGACATAAATTGTGTTTTACTTTTGGAGTTGTAGATGACTAATTTATGTCTAATCTTGATTCCAGGTGAGTTCATTGACCCCTGCAGCTTTAAGGGATGCTGTCAGTGATATAGGTTCAGTTATCAGCATGAACGATAGGATAGCAGGGTCAGCTCCAGGCAATGGATCCAGAGCTGCTGTTGGTGAAGATTTGGTTGCCATGACTAATTGTCGCCTTCAAGCTAGAAATTTCATCACTCAAGATGGTGCGAATGGAACCAGGAGGATGAAACGCTCCACAAATGCTACACCCTTGAACGTTGCATCTTCTGCTGGTAGTGTGAATGATAGTTTCAAGCAGTTCTCTGCTATGGAGGCTTCTGATTTGGAGTCAACTGCAACATCTAATATCAAGAAGCCAAGGATTGAGGTACTGCATTATTTCTTTAGTTGTTTTGTTTTACTTAAAAATTGATCTCTTTGCTTGCTGTTAATGTCATTTTTTTTATATTAATTGGATCAATTTAATATGTGAACCTGCTTTTACAAAGATGCAATAATTTGGAAGTAGCCCTATGCAAAAATAATAAATTGAAATTAGCATTGGATGGAAATCCTTTCATTTTTAATGGATTTTCTCTGGACATATTCTGAATGCTGATAAGGAGTATGTAATTTATACGGCAGGCTAATCATGCCCTTTTGGAAGAAATTAGGGAGGTTAATCAACGACTTATTGACACAGTAGTAAGCATAAGTGATGAAGAAGGTGATCCAACTGCAGCAGCAGCAGCTGCTGAAGGGGCAGAAGGGACTATTGTCAAATGTTCTTACATTGCTGTGGCTCTCAGTCCAAGCTTAAAAGCCCTTTATAATTCAGCACAGATGGTGGGTTCTTGAAACTCTTAAACTATATACGCCTTGTTTTTATATTTTTATAGGTTAGGTGAAATTCGGCCCTTATAAATTTTGAAAAATATATGATTTTGGTCTTTGTGAAATTTTATCCGTTTTTAGTCCCTACAAAACAAAAAATGTGTGTTTAGTTCTGATAAGAGAATGATGAGGGATGGAAAACAAATAAATTTTTATAGGGATCAAAACTAAACTTTCCCTATTTAATATAGGAATAAAAACATTGGAATTTCTATTTTCTCCATTTTATAACTGTCTTAATCTATGTTTTTACTGCCACGCAGTCGCAAATTCAACCCCTGCGCCTCCTTGTTCCTACAAATTATCCCAATTGTTCCCCCATATTCCTAGACAAGTTTCCAGTTGAATCCAGGTGAGAGAATCAGTATTTTGGTATCTAGTGTGCTATTTATCTTCCAAATAAAATATCTGTAGTCTCAGCCAACCTTGAATTATCATGCCAAATATGTTGTTTGCTTGCCTTTATCCCCAAAAATGCTTTGTTTTGAAAAAAATGTTTTCTGTTATCTTGTTTTCCTCTGTATCCTATTTTTAAAATTTATATCAGAATCAATGCGACATTCTTTATTTTTTTCATTGCTTCATGTGCAAAATCTTTAAAAACAAGAAATAACATTAAAACAATTTGGAACTTTCATAATTAGAGGTGAAAAACAACTCAAAATTGAACATTTTTGCAAATCAAACAATGTTCATGCATGAAGCATTTGTTTGCTTTGTTGTATCCGAAGTAAAGTATGAATCACAAGTCCTAAATTACAATAGTCACAAGTATGAAGCATTTGTTTGCTTCTGTTTCTAATAAAATGAAGTGTTTGGATATTTCTGTCAGTATGGAGAATGAAGATCTTTCTGCCAAATCGAAGTCAAAGTTTAGTGCATCCTTGCGTGGTTTATCACAACCTATGTCTCTTAAAGATATAGCAAAGACTTGGGATGTATGTGCTCGCACAGTAATTTCTGAATATGCACAGCAGCGTGGTGGAGGGACTTTCAGCTCTAAGCATGGCTCTTGGGAGGATTGCTCCGCATGGTGATCCTTGCGCGCGCCGTGCAAACTGTTTTTGTCATTTTCAAATTCGGTTTTGTTAAACTTAGTCAATGTTTCACTGTATATAAACCACAACTGTCTTTTTCTTGTTTGCTTACATCACAAGTTGTGATGCCTAAGTTATTTGGTTTAGTAAATCTAGTTATGACTTGAATCAAATTGTTCTTGGTGAAGGCCTTGTTCATAACTATACACAAAGGCTCTGTACTGAATGGTTACACTCGATACAAATATGGTTACACTCGATACAAATATGAATACAGTTTTCTTTTTTCATACTTAAAAATGATACTCTCTTTTATAAAAACAGTTGATTCTATGGTATGAAGACAACTTTGGATCATTGTTATAAAAATTACTTGACAATCAACTCGATAATAAGCAACTTGGACTGGCTTGTCTGGACCCACTTATGAAACATTGCTCTGGATAATGCAGATTGGCAATGGAAATTTAGTTTGTTGGTGCACAAGGTTAATAAATAAAGAAAAAGTAAGAGATAATATATTTATTGCAATGATGGCTAGAATGATTGTTGTTACAAATAACATCTATCACTAGTCTATTTATACACAAAGTAAATTGTCACGTAAGTCCTAAAAGGTAAACTTAATGACTAAGTTAGCAGGTACAAATTAGGAAATATTAAACTTAACAATTACACTAACAAATAAATTAGAACCTTAGAACCCAGAAATTAAGCATACTTCTGAGCGCAACATCAGAAGCTTCTGCTTCTGATTAATAACAACTTCTGGTTACATCAAACTACTGTTTCTAACTAAACAGTCTCAGAAGCTTATAGTTTCTGCTTAACAACCTCAGAAGTTCAATTGCTTTTGAGCAACAAAATCTTCTGAATATGAATTATTTCTAACGACATCCCTTAATTCATATTCAGCTAACCAAAACTCTTCAACACCAAATCCATCACTCAAACAGATAAAGTGTTCAGTCTGGACATCCTTCGTCAGAACATCTGCAAGTTAATTCTGGTTGCTACATTGTAAAATTTTTAATACTTTATTTAGAAATGCATATTTCACCTTGAAGACCCATCTGACGCTGATGTTTTTCTTCTCCTTCAGAAGCTCAGTTAACTCCCAAGTCTTATTTTTTTATATAGCCTCAAGTTCTTTTCATGGCATTCAGTCATACTTTCTTGAGAGCTTCTTCAACACTCACAGGTTCAGAGTCTACTAACATGACACACTAAACAATTTCTCCTTTTGAATCTACTTCAACGTCTTGTAACATGTCAAACTCTTCAAACCTTCTTGGTATTCGTATGATTCTGTGTGGTCTCTAAACTTATTCAGAAATTCTTTTCAATTCTGGAACAATATCAGATACTTGACCACCTTCAGAAGTTGGATCGCCTTCAGAACCTCTACTTTCTGAAGTTTCACCTTCAGAATCATAACCTTCATCAGAAACATCATCATCTTCAGAAGTTTGTCCTCTAGAACCTACATCTTCAAAGTTTTCCCTTCTAAAAACATGACCACCATCAGATTTTGAATTATCATCAAAATCTGAATTAAAATCAGATTCACCATCTGACTCATCTTTAGATTCTCCAGAAAATTCTTCATCTTATAACTCTAGCTCTTCTTCAGAACTTTCAAGTTCTGATTCATCTTCAGAAGCATAATCTTCTTCAAATTCTGACTCATCTTCTAATTCTTCTTCAGACTCAGAATCACCTTTGGATTCTGACTTGTCTTCAGCTTTAGAGTCATCTTCTAACTCTGAGTCATCTTCAAAAACCGCAGATTCTGACTCATCTTCAGAATCTTTAGCGTCATCTTCTAATTCAGACTCATATTAAAACACTTCTTCAGAATACTCAGAGTCATCTTCTTCAGATTCTGACTCATCTTCTGATTCTTCTTCAGTCTCAGAATCACCTTCGAATTCTGAATTTTCATTAGTTTTAGAGTCAACTTCTAATTCTGAGTCATCTTCAGAAACCTCAGATTCTGACTCATCTTCAGAATTTTCAGCATCATCTTCTAATTCTGAATCATATTCAAACACTCCTTCAGAGTCAGAATATTTAGAGTCATCTTCTTCCCCTTCAGAATTATAAAATGACAATTTCACAGATTCCTCATCAAATTCATAAGCCATTAATAGCACAGGTTCATCATCTGAATCTCCTCTGACTATTTTTGCTTCTTCTTTGTTTGACCAACAATCTTTAGCAAAGTGGCCAAACTTATTACAACAGTAACACTGAACCATTCTCTTGTCATACTTCTCCTTTCCATTCTGATGTTTTTTTCCATTAGAATATATGACTTCTGACTTTTGGGAACTGTCACCATGTCTCTTCTGCTTCTGGTCTTTCTTGACAAAAGAAGTCTTCAGAGTCTGCTCAACTTTCCTCTCAGAAGTTCTTTTCGTCAGACGCAACTCATGTGTCTCTAGACTGCTTTGCAACTCTTATATTTTACGGTGTTCAGATATTTAGAATGTTCAATTGCTACAACAATGTAATCAAATTGAGGAGTAAGCGACCTCAATATCTTCTCAATGATTATTTGTTCAGAAAGGATTTCTCCACAAGCTTTCATCTTATTAGTAATCAGAATCACTCTAGAGATGTACTCAGAAACCTTCTCGTTGTCCTTTATGTTAGATTTTCATACTGCCTTCTAAGAGACCGCAACTGAAGGAAAATTGCGACCAAAAGCGCAGCGGAATTTAAAATTTTCCTTTAGCGATCCTTACGAATGAGCATGGTCAGTGATAGAAATATTTACCTCTTGTGGCGATTCAGAACTTTGATGTTGTGATCACGAGCGTTGATGAAGAACAACGCCTCTACTCAGTCCACACGAACAGATCGCTTCCGGTCACTGTGCTAGCTGATTACGAACGGAAACCTTGAGTGAGAGAGAGAGTCAAAAACGAAAATGCATCAAGTGAAATTGCTTCATCACAAGGGATCTATTTATAGAATCACTCGTGTGGGTTACAAGCTAAAAGCCCAATTAAGGCTATAAGCTAAAAGCCCAATTAAGCTTATGGACATCATACCTTATGATGTACCATATATCACTTATCCACGTGGTACCTTACCATTTTCCGTATTACACTTAAGTGCACCGTACCTTACGGTGTTCCTTATTTCTTCTATCTCTCATCAACCTGTCCTTATGTGTGTGACCCTGTAGGTTTTCGCGACGTTGGCAATTATATTAAATCACACATTTAATATAATAAACAGTGAGCGGTATCTAGCAACACATCACTGTTACCCAAGTCACGAAAATGTCATGTGATCTGACCAAACCTTTTCCGTGATAATATTTGTGTTGTACAATTACCCTTTTGCCCTCATGTCTATATTGAACACAAGGCATACACTGTGTCACCCTTGTCCAGTTCAATATTGGGCCCTTAGACATTTATCCTGTTATGCAGGATGAGCAAATTCCATCTAGGTCACTCATGTCCCTTAGCATGCTTTGTGAAGTACCCATCAACCGTCTTTACAGTCATCAAGTTACGGATGACGTTTGATCAGCAATAAAGTACTTGACTCTACATCTAGGGTCCATAGTGGTTTCAGGTCGAAGGGTGGTATACACCATTATCATCATGAGAATAACTTATGACACTTTGCATAACATTCTATGTAGTATTCTCATAGCGGGTCAATCCAGTATAAATATTACTCCTAATATTCATACCTATGTCAAGACTTGACAACTCCTTATCTATGATCCATGAGATGTGATCATCAATCTATCTTCATAATAATCTTAATGCTTTAATGCTATCCCACTTCACATTAAAGCTTGACTACAGATACTTTAAGAATAGTGTCTTATGTTTAATAGGATCTCATGATTAAGTCACACTTAACATTTCATTAAACAAATAAACCATTCTAGGGACTTTATTATTTTGGAAAGCAAACATAATAAAGAAATGCCTTTTATTATTAATAAATAATTCGATACAAGTACCAAAAGTATTGGCCTCTAGGGCTTACACCAACAATCTCCCACTAGCACTAGAGCCAATCAGGCATACCCCTAATACCCATAGATCTAGTATGTCCATCATGCTTCAGCTGCGCAAGAGGCTTTGTTAATGGGTCAGCAACATTGTCAAATGTAGGTACTCTGCATATTTTAACATCTCCCCGATCGATTATCTCTCGAATGAGATGATAACGCCTAAGTATGTGTTTGGATTGTTGGTGAGATCTAGGCTCCTTAGCTTGTGCGATAGCACCATTGTTATCACAATAGAGATCAATGGGATCCACAATGCTATGGACTATGCCAAGTTCACTAATGAACTTCTTGATCCAAACAACTTCCTTTGCTGCAGTTGAGGCAGCAATATACTCAGCCTCGGTTGTAGAATCAGCAACTGTATCTTGCTTTGAACTTTTCCAGCTCACAGCGCCACCATTTAAACAAAACACATAACCAGATTGCGATCTAAAGTCATCCTTATCTGTCTGGAAGCTAGCATCGGTGTATCCAATTACAGCAAGCTCTTCCTGACCTCCATATATCAAGAATGAATCCTTAGTCCTTCTCAAGTACTTAAGGATATTCTTGACAGCTACCCAATGAGCATCACCGGGATTAGACTGGTACCTACTCGTTGCACTTAAAGAATACGAGACATCTGGTCGAGTACATAGCATGGCATACATGATAGATCCTATTGTAGATGCATATGAAATCTTATCCATGCGATCCCTTTCTTCCTTACTTGAAGGGGATTGTGTTTTTGACAGACACATGTCATGTTGCATAGGTATGAATCCTTTCTTGGAATCATGCATATTAAAGCGTCTCAACACTTTTTCTATGTATGTACTCTGACTTAGGCCAAGCAGTTTTTGTGACCTATCTCTATAGATCTTGATTCCTAATATATAGGCTGCTTCACCTAGGTCCTTCATTGAAAAGCATTTCCCTAACCAAGTCTTCACTTGTTGCAAGGTAGGGACAT